TCCTCCTGCGCTCCCCTGGTTCCCTCGCCGCCCCCTGCCTCCCCTGCTGCTGGGGTGGGTGGGGTGGTGGGCGGGTGGTATCAGCGAGGAGCCGCTGTGCTGAGGGATGGGCCCCTTCTCCCAGTGTGTGCACAGGGTGGGGGGCGATGGATGTAGGGGCCCTCCCCTGCGCCTTCTCCTGGCCTACCTTTGTGCTGCTCTGCCCCCCCCCCCCCTGCTGCCTTCCCCGCCTGCCTCGTCCAGAGCACATCTAGACTCACTGGTGATTCTTCCGCAACCTGTCAAGTAGCATGATGCGCACAGCCGTGGAGGCCCCGGCCACGGAGGGCCCGAAGAAGCAGAGGCCGCTTGGGGAGGAGGCGAAGAAGCAGAAGTCTCTCGAGGACAAGGGGCGGAAACGCTGGATCCACGAGAACCAGGTTCTCAACAACAAGCTCCGGGCGGACGCGAAAGCGGAGTCGCTGAAGAACCCGTGGGGGCCGTCCAAGGACACCCTCTACGGCAACAAGGTCGGAGAGGCCTGGTACCAGCTTCCAGATGCTGTGCGCAGGAGCTGGATCCAGAGCGTGGTTGAGCTCGGCCCCCTCCCCCGGTCAGCTGGGGTTGGCCAGCTTTGGATTGGTGGGTGCGCCTGCTGCCCCGCCTCTGTCCATGGGCGGGGAAAAGGGGGGGTGGGCCCCCGCAGAGGAGGAGGCGATGGCGGCCCATCTCCAGGCACGCGGGGCATGGCAGGCGGGCGCGGCGGTATCCCCAGAGGACCCCTCCCTGATGATGCACGGGGGGGCCCCGTGGAGGATGCGCCAGGGTCATCAGGATGCAGCGGCAGCCGCGGCAGGGGCCGTGCCCGGCGGGGTCCCGGCGAGCAGTGCGGGCCATGTGCAGGCAACCGTGGGAGAGATCCCTGGCGTGGGCGGTGCGGGAGGCATGGGCGCCAGAGCGGCTGCCTTCGCAGCGGGGGCGGGCGGCGAGGCGGAAGGCCACAAGCAGGGGGGCCAGGGAGTCAAAGAAGGCATGGGCGGCACGGCAAGCGGCTGGGCGGAGGCAGGAGAGGTGGCTGGCGGCTGGGCGGCTGGGCATGGCATCCCAGGGGGGGCCCTGCCTCCAGCCATGCATGGGCAGACGGGAGGAGGAGGCGTGCGGCGTGCTAATCCGGGGCCCGCGGGGTCGGCCGGAGTCGGCGCCGTGGCAGGCCAGGCTCAGGGACAGGATCACGGACAGGTAGTTGCTGGTGGCATGCCGGGCACGGGCGGCTGGTTGGCGGGGGCCGGGGGCATCGGCGGCGTGGGGGTCGCCTCGGGCGGGGGCCAGGTGAGCGTCGAGTGCCAGGGGGGCATGGGTGGCTGGAATACAGTCCCCGATGGCATGGGCGGCGCGGGTGGTCCCTCGGGCGGGGCGCGCGCGGGTGCGGGCGGAATGGCGGGCATGGGCGGCTGGCCGGCGGGCGTCGGGGGCATGGGGGGCACGTGGGGCGCTTCAGGAGGGGTGGCAGCGGCAGGCCCGCCCGGCCCGGGGGCGGGGGGCTGGGCGGCAGGCGCGAGTGTACAGACCGAAGTCCTGCCCCCGACTGGCCAGTGGCAATGGACGCCCCAGACGGGGTGGACTGAGCAGCCGGCTGGGGTGGGGCATCCAGCAGGCCCGGGCGGGGGGCAGAGCGAAGCGACCCAGGCGCCCGAGTCCCAAATGTTCCCGTTGTACTACGACAGCCTCCAGCAGCCCGGTGGCGGCGCTCCGGCCCCGCAGAAAGAGCGCTACACCCGCTTCATGCGGCTCTTGCCAGACGGATCTCTTCCGAGTGAGTGACATGCACATCCTCTCGTGGGCCTGGCACGTGGCCTCCGCGCGACCCCCTCATGAACCACCCGGGAGCGGCCTGGTCCCATCTTCCGAAAGAGGGCCCTCCCCACGGCTTGCTGCTCCAATTTGGACACAAGAGGGGAGCGGCACACATTTTCCACAACTCGAATGGTAAGGTCTGCATCCACGCGAATCCCGAGCAGAGAGAGAGGATTTTGTCCAAGATCCTTAAATAGACCACCTCATACAATGGAGGGGTGCCTCCCTCTCTGCCGACCGCTGAGCCACTGCCCCCGGCCCGCGTGGACCGCAGTCGCTTTCCCCCCAGAAGCGTTAGGGGGGAGGTAGCGTGCGATAGGGGTCAGGACAGGCTCCCATCATCGGTTAGTGGTACTGGGGGACGCCAGGCAGTCGACAATGCATTTAACGTTGACCCGTTTAGTGAGGCTCATATGATGTTTAATTCGGCACTTTACCCGTGCGCCCTGCGCATGAGCGGCTTAGCCGGCGGTCTTGGTTAAAAGGACTGCCGAAGACCCCCATGAGCTGGGTGCCCCCGCGCACTCCGCTTGCGTGCTTTACGTCGCTTCCCTGGCGTTTTTTCGCGGCCAATCTCCCTCCTTAGGTTGCCGTGCGTGCCGTAAGCGTGAGATCTAGTTGTGGCACTTGTCTCGCCTCGCGCCGCCGACAGAAAGCGTGGGGATAAACCGGCCACAACATGTCTGCATCGGGTGATGGGGCGGGCCGGGGGGGCTTGAGCGGGTGGTGGCGCACGAGCCCCGCCGCTCCCCCCCCCGCCCCCCCTCGCCAGGGGCCCACCCCAGGTTTCTGAGAGCCTCCCGTGGGTGGGATCCAGCGTTGTGGGTCTGGGGGCCGTGGGTGGTGGTGTGCGTTGTGTGTGTGTGTGTGTGTGTGTGTGTGTGTGTGTGTGTGTGTGTGTGTGTGTGTGTGTGTGTGTGTGTGTGTGTGTGCGTGTGTGGGGGGTGTTGAGGGGGTGTGCTGTCTCCGCTAGATCCCGCGCGGTAGGGGGGTTCCCGCAGATGCCGTTGGAGATCAGGGGCTGCCTTGAGGCGGGGGAGGGGGCGGGTGAGGTGTACTGGGGCAAGCGATGCCCCACAGTGCTCTCTCCGCCAATCTCGCCGGTCTCCCGGCGCGGTTGAGAAGGGTGCCGTGCCAGGCCCAGGGCGGGAGTGAGTCCGCTTGCCGGTGTGGCGGACGCACTCCCGCTCGGGGTGTTCGGGGGCCCATCCCAGGCGCCTGGGAGGAATTCTGGTTTTTGTTGGGGTGGGGCTGTGCCTGGTGAGGTGTGCTGGGGTGGGTGGCGCTCTCCCGCGCCCTCTCGGCCGCCCCTCTGGACCCCCCCGCGCGCTGGGGAAGTGCCTAAGAAGCCCAGCGGGGGAGTGAGTCCGCATCTGCGGTGTGCGGACGCACTCGTGCGCGGGGGGTTCTGGGACCTTCCCTAGAAGCACAGGGGAGGATCCGGTTCCCCCGCGCGCAGAGAGCATTATGATGTGCAGGTGTGGTGCACAACGCGGAGGAGCCCGAGGAATTCTCCCCCTCCTCTTCCCTGCTGCCCTTGCTGCTCCTCCCTTCTCCTCCCTCCCCCCCTCCCCCGCTCTCCGGCCCCCCCTCTCCTGCCTCTCCCCCGCCTCCTCCTCCCTCCCCCTTTCCCTGCTCGCCGGGGGCGCGCTCAGGCCGGGGGGGGCCCCCCCGCAGGTGGGCGAGAGCTGATGTTGTCAAGCGACGCCCCACTCTGACGCCTCGGAGTTCAAAGTCGATGGAAGAGGGGGGGGTGCCCCAGAGGGCCTCTCTCCTTGGAGCCCTGATCCCCTCCCCCGGGGTGTTGCGAGCGGGTGGTTTGTTTCCCCAAACAGCTTGCTGACGGGGTGCTGTTGCCGTGGGTCTAACAATGTTTGGGGATTCTGCTCTCCGGCTATTCGGCCCGGAGGACTCTCCTCGCAGGTGGGAGATGTGCTGTCGGCGTCGCCCCACTCCGATGTTTCGGGGTTCTCTGTTTCTGTGCCGACGGCTGGTTGGGGCTCTCTGGGGGTGCCCGTGTGTTAGGGCCTTTTTCCTCGGGGCCTTGTTTCTCTCCCCCGGGGCGTTGTGGGCGGGTGGAGTTTCTTGTGGGGCGCTGGGGGGCTCTTCGCGGGGGCTGCAGCTTGGTTCTCGGGATCCTGGGGCCTCCTCGTCGCCGTGGCCGGACGTGGCCGCAGGGCTGGTCGTTGGTCCCCGGGAGGGGTCCGGGGGCGCTGTAGGGTCCGGGGGTCGGGTGCTGGCGGTCTTCGTGTCCCTCGGGCCTTCCTGCCGAGGTCGCCCTTGAGCCTTTGTGGGCTCTCCCCTTGGGCCCCCCCCCGCCCCCCCCATCCGTGGCCGTCCGGCTCCGACGCCCACGGGGCGAGGGGCGCCCCCCTGTGCGAGGCGTGCCGTTCGACGCGAAGCCTCTGCGGGAGCTCCTCGATGCTGGGCCTACCCCGGCCTGGGACAGGAACGCCACAAAGCACAGTAAACATCTCGCGGGCTTCCTCGACCTCAAGAGCCACGATGTCCGGGATGGGGCCCGGGCGCATGCGGTTCTGCACGCGGTCGACCTGCTCACAAGGCATATCAAGCCCGCCAGGAACCCGCAAGAGAGAGTTCTCGAGCTCTTCGCCACGTACCTCGTCCACCGGGGTGCGGACGCGTGCGCGGAAGTCGTCCAGCTCAGCGGGTCGGGTTTCTCTACAGCCAGTTACGAGTCTTGCCTTGGGGCCGAGAATCCGCTCCGCAGGGTTCAGGGGCAGGGCGCCCCGCCAGGACAGCAGGGGCGTCTGACTTTCGAGTCGGCAGGGCTGTCCACACACACGCACCCTCTTTTGCAAACATCGTACTCCCTTCAGGGAGGACGCCCTGACCAAGATGTTGGTGCAGCGGTGGGAGAGCCTGCCTCCCGATGCACCATGGGACTCGGCCTTGGCTGCGGCTGTCCTGGCCCTCGCCGCGCGGTCCAAGGTTCTTCTTTCCTGGATGCAGGGCGCTTCGTTCGTGCTCAGGGGGCCAGAGAGCCTCGCGCAGCTCTACGGGGGCGTGGTCATGACTCACGGCACCCTCCTAGGCGATCGAGGGATTATCCACGCGAGCACGACTCGCCTCGGGGTCCTCGTGGACACCCTGGCGGCCCCTTTCTGGCAGGGCGCGCCCGATGAACCATCTGGCGCCTGGCGGAGGCACAGGCGCCGCTTGCTGCGGCCGTGGTGCTCCATGACCTTCCACAGTGTGGGGGGCTCAATAGAGTGCACCTCGCAGAGTACCTCCACATCATGGACTCGGGCAAGAGGCGCTTGCCCTGGACGCGCCCTGGCGTCCTCTCGCCGGCATTCCTAGAGGTAGGCACCAACGCGCGCGCGGTGCTGGAGCTCACGGGCTGCGCCGCCGAGTCGGACGAGGCGGGCCTGCAGCAGCTGCAGGATGCGGTGGCCCGGCTGTGCCCGGCGAGCGTGGTCTACAAGGGCCCGGATGGGGAAGTCCGGTTCCCGCTGAGGTCCAGGATCCAGTGGTGCGCAGTCCAGGCCAAGGCACGTGCCTTTCTCAAGGTGCTCCAAACGTGGGTGCGTGGGGCGGCCGGGATCCACGCCCGGGCCTCCAGGCCGTTGAGCGCGGCCCTCGCCTACGGTCTAGGCAAGAGGCCCAGGGCGCCGAAGAGGGGCCGCGCTGAGCAGGAGGCAGACGCAGTCTAGGCACGCGCGGTGGCCTAGAGCGCCAGGGGGGGCGCACAGGGGGCTAGGTGAGGGGCACCTCCGCCGCGGGAAAAGTTGCGTGCGAGCTCTCTGCACGCGGGGGGGGCGCCCGCACCTCGGGCGGGAGTATGTCCGCACTTGCGCGGTGCGGACGTGCTCCCGCCTCGGGTTTTGGGCCCTTCCGCGGGGGCGGGTGCCGCTGCTCTCCTCCCTCCGCCGCCGCCGCCGCCGCCGCCGCCGCCGCTGTTGTCGCCGTCGTCGTCGTCGTCGTCGTCGTCGTCGTCGTCGTCGTCGTCGTCGTCGTCGTCGTCGTCGTCGTCGGCTTTTGCCCCCTCTTCCCTGCTTCCCGCGGTGGGGGCGGTGGCGCGGTGCCTCCTGGAGAGGGCGCCGGCCGCGCGGGGCATGGCCGTGGGGGGTGGAGGTGGGGGCGGGGCGGACCGCCCGTGGTCTGCCCGCATGTGGGGTGGCGCCCGAACCTCGAGCGGGAGTGTGTCCGCACTTGCGCGGTGCGGACATACTCCCGCCTCGGGTTTTGGGCCCCTCCGCGCGTGCGGGGGCCGGTGCTGCCCCTCCCTTCGCCGCCGCTGCTGCCGCCGTCGCCTCCGTCGTCGTCGGCGTCGTCGTCGTTGTCGCTGTCGTCGTCGTCGGTGTCGTCGTCGTCGTCGTCGTCGTCGTCGTCGTCGTCGTCGTCGTCGTCGTCGTCGTCGTCGTCGCTGGCCTTTCCCCTCTCGTAGCCCCCGCGGTGGCCGGGGGCGCGGTGCCTGCTGGGGAGGGCGCAGGCCGCGCCGGAGATGGCCGTGGGGGGGGGGGCGGTGGCGGGGGCGGGGCGGGCTGTCCGCGCGTGGGGAGCGCCCAAACCTCGAGCGGGAGTGTGTCCGCACTTGCGCGGTGCGGACATATTCCCGCCTCGGGTTTTGGGCCCTTTTCGCGGATGCGCGGGCCGCTGCTCCCCCTCCCCTCACCGCCGCCGCCGCCGCCGCCGTCGTCGCTGCCGTCGTCGTTGTTGGCGTCGTGGTCGTCCTCCTCCCCCTCGTCCTCCTTGCGCCCTCGAGGGAGACGGAGGCTCGGTGCCTCCTGGCGGGGCGCCAGCCTTGCCTGGGATGGAGGAGGGGGGTGCGGGGCGGTGGGGGCGGGGCGGTGGGTGGGGTGGCGGCGGTGGTGGCGTCGTCAGGGGGTTTTCCTGGGCTCGGGGTGGGGGGTGGCTGCGCGGGCCCCCTCGTCGCCACGGCTGGGCCGGGCTCGTGTTCTGGCGTGCTGCCCCGGGCTGGGGGATTCCAGGGGGTCTCTCTCTGTTCGTCTGCGCCCCCCACTCGTCGCCGCGGCCGGGCCGGGGGTTGTTTTCTGGTGCGGCGGGGCCCTTGCGTGGGCCCTTGGGGGCCGCCGTGTGTCTCCTCTTCCGCGGGGTCCGCCCCGGCCTGGGGCCGGTCTCCGTTCTGGCGGCCCCGGGTGCTGTCTTTTGGGTGTGGTGGTTGCTTCGGGCGAGGGGCTGTGCAAGAGGAGCCCTGGCCAGGCTCAGGTCTTCTTCCCTGGCGGCCATCCCCTTCCTTCTTTTTCCCTTGCCTTTCCGTCTTCTCCTTCCTCCTCCTCCTCCTCCCCCTCCTCCTTCTCCCTTCCTGTTCGTTTTTTTTTTTTCCCCCCCCAAGCACAAGCGGGGCCCAGTTGGGTGAGGTGTGCTGGGATGGGGCGCTGCCCTCCCGCTCCCTCTCCGCTGCTTCTCGCCGGGTCGCGGATGGGGCGTGTTCTGGAGGGGGCCTGTCCCTCGCGGAACCAGCGTCCGCCCCTGTCCTTGTGCCAGGACAGGGCAGGTGGTAGGATCGCAGGCTTCCCGCGGAGGGTGGGGGCAGGATTGCGCCGCCTACCCGCAACCCTGGCCCTGTCCGTAGAACTTGGCTCATCAGAGGTCCGGCGCGGTGAAATGGGACGTGGGCATGGAAGCCGCCCTGGCCGCACTCCTCGCAGAGTTTCCTCACGGACGGGGTCTGGGACCCACAGGTGACGACGAGGCGGATGCGCTGATTGGGCGCCGCTGGGCAGCGCTGAGGCAGGAGGGGCACGCGCTGGAACGGCAGGCGGGGCTGCTGGGGGGTGCCTTACCGAACGCGCAGGAGGTGCAGCGCATCCGCTCGTCCCTGCGGTGGGCGCAGCGCGAGGGTGTTCTCCCCGTGCCCCCCCGCGCCACAGTGGCACTGCCGGTCCGTGAACAGCGCGGGACTTTCCGAGTGTCCCTGGGGGTGGGCTCACCCAGTACGCTGGGATGCACAAGTGTGGACGGCAAGACGGCCCGGTGGCATCTCTTCACATATCGAGAGGTTGGCATCGCCTCCGCCTTTGATCACCTCCAGGTGGCGCTCGTCGGGCCCCCGGGGGCGCGTCTGGCACGGGGGGTCAAAGTTCCGCAGCTGCCATGGATGGGGATCATAGCCAGAGGGGGCCCGTCATACGCTTCGGCAGCAGTGGTCTGGGACAAGGCGCAGTTCCCCGAGCTGAGGGAAGTGGTCGAGGTGGGCTCGGACCGGCGTCTCTGGGCCACCCACCGAGGCGCGGGCGGCGTCGCCTGGTACATATGCACCCTCTACCTGCCCCCTCTACCCAAGTCAGGCTGCGATGTTGAATGGCACGCCCAACTGGAGGGGCTCAGCGAGGACATCAAGGAGGTCTGCGGTGGGAGCCCAAGGGCGCCCCTTTCCATTAAAATTGTCCTGATGGGTGACATCAATATGCAACCCGCGGCCCTGGGAGGTGACCAGGAGCCGGCCAGGGCGAGGGACAGGCGATGGGCCACTTTTCTGGAGGAGTGGGGTCTTGCGCACCTCAATCCCCAAGTGGGTCAGGGCCCACGGACAGAGGTCTGGCTTCCGCGCTGGAACAAAGCGGTCCCTCTCCGTCCGGGTGACACACGCCACGGCGGCACCCCGCGGTGCATTGATGTGGTTTTTGCGTCCCCGCCGGCGGCGGGGCCGGCGGTCGTGCACAATGGGCTGCATTGCTTTGCAGGAGAACCCTGCCGGTGGCCGGAGTGCGTCGACTACGCGTTGGGGGACCATTTCTTTATTGAAGTGCAGGTTCCCCTGGCAGTCCACACAGGTGGCAGAGTGGGGGGTGCGCTGAGGATGCCCCGCTGGTGGCTGGACGGGCCCGCCTGGGCATCAGGGTTGGCGGCGCCGGCGGGGGCGTTCCCGTGTTTGGAGGGCCTCCTACGGTCGGTTTGCACGGGGCAAGGTCGAGGGGTGTACGGGGCTAGGCTGCGTCGGGCGGCTGCGCAGTGGCTCTGTGATGCCTTGGCGTGGCTGCTCCGCATCATCCTGGCCCTTGCCATGTCGGGGTGGGTGGTCCCGGCAGATGCAGGCTCTCGCTACCGGAGGAAGCTTGCAGGGGGAAAAGGGGTCGCAACGGCCGCTGGGCAACCAGATCCGGGCGGCTCTCGAAGAGGGGGGTGCGCCCGCGGACAAGGTTGCCCGCTGCCTCCGGGTCCTGGAGCCTGCTGCGATCCAGCCGGCACCGTGCCTAAAGGTAGGGGAGGTGGCCCTCTCGCCGGCGGACTCGCTTGCAGCATGGTGCGCGCAGATCCGGGATCAGTCGCGGTGGCCAGGCGTGTAGGACGCGCAGAGGCACGACATGGTCCAGGGCGTGGTGCGGTGCCAGGCAGGGAGGGCCTGGGCGCGTCGCGGGCGTGGAGAACTTGACGGGCCCGTTGTCCAAAACGAAGTCCGGGGCGTCCTGGCGGGGTGGTCCACCACGGACGCGACCACGCCAGACCTGGTTCCCCGCCTCATCCTCCAGCTGTCGCGCGCCCCGCTGGACACGGTGGTCTGGTTCGCAAGGCAGGCCCCCCGGAGTTAGGGGAGAGCTTCCGGCTGATCATGGTCAAGACGCAGTTCGGCCTCCTCCAGGAAAGCATTCTGTGCCAGCGGGCAAAGCCCAAGGTGCAGTCCTCGGTTCTCCCCGGCCAGAGCGGCTATGTCCGCGATGTCGGGGGTGCCCAGCTCCTGCTCCATGAACTGGCCTCGCAAGCGATGGACCAGCGCAGGGCTTTGTGGGCCGTCTCCGGCGACCTCCAGAAGGCGTTCCCGCGGGTCTGGAGGGAGGGTCTCTTGCGCCGAGTATCCACGCATGTCGGGCTCCGGGACGGGTGCTTCGCCCTCCTATGCACGTGAACGTCAACGGGGTAGCCATCGTCTGCGTCGTGCAGGGCATTGCGGAGGGGGGCACGGCGGGGCCGATGTTCTTGAGCTCCGCCTCCGGGGGGCAGAGCCTGTGCAGCTGGGGGTGGTCCAGGTGCACAAGTGGCTGGGCCTTCAGTGGCGGGGCGATTTGGATTTGCGGGCTATGTGCCGTGCGCGCCTGGCAGCAGCGGCAGCCCAGGTCGCCTCCCTTGCTGGTCAAGTGGCCAGTGGCGACGTCCCCCTGGCAGTGGCGGGGGGCATCTTCGACATGAAGATCGAAGGGTGCCTCGCTTCGGGCGCTGGCTGTGGGCCGTTGCGGAAGGCAGCGCGGAGGCCGCGGACGACGCGTATCGCGGCTGGGCGCGGGCTCTCCCTGGGGCCCCCCCCTTGGCGGGCCTCTGCGGTGGCGGAGGCGGAGCTGGGCTGGGTCCTATCGGGCGCGGGCCGGGGCGTGATCGATGTGGCGCGCCGCCGTGCAGGGCTTTGGGCCCTCCCGGAGGACGACTTATACCGAAAGGTCTGCCTGGCGGCCCACGCTGCCCGGGAACTGTCCTGGGCAAGTCAGTCCGAGAGGCTGATTGCGGCTTGGGGTGTGCAGGATTGGCCGGTCTGGTCCCAGTCCCAGGCTCGCCCGGGGGAGCAGCGCGAGGCGCGCGCCGCGGCTGTGCAGCAGCAGGTTGCTCGCAAGTGCAGGGGGGAGTGGCCGCTCAGGGCGAGGGTCCATGACCGTCCTGTCCCTTTGCTCTCCCTGTGCGGGGGCCCGGTGCGGGATCTGGCGATGTATGCTCTCCAGGGCGCGTGCAGCTGGGGCGTTCTGCAGGGCGTGCGGTCCCTCAG